GAGCCAAACACTTAACCAGCTGTGCCACCCAGACACCCCCAGAAGCTTTTTAAAAATGTTATGTTCAGGGGGATTATAAAGTTATCCTTTTGCTAATGATGTCTAATTTAATTGCCTAGTGGGTGGAGAGCACAGTCTGTTGATTTCATGTCTTCAAAATTTGTTGAAACTTGCACTGTGAGTTAGAACATTGCCAATTTTTGTTTTGTTCTCTGAGAGCTTTAGGGGAGCGTGTACCTCCAAGTGTCAGGTGCAGAGTTTCACGAACACACAGTCCCGTGTCTGTGGTGTCACTCGCGTGTTCTGCATCTTTACTGCAATTTCACTACACTTGGACGGGCTGTTCTGAGAGGTATGTTGGCATCTCCCCCCAGATGGACAGTGTGTTGATCCGGCCTGGGTTCCCTCCTCAGACTAAATCCCTGGTGATGGGCCCTCATAACATCTGTGTTCTTCTTCACTGCCCATGGACAGTTACATTATCTCTGGGCTGGATTATGGCTTAGGCTCCTAAATTTTCTCTGGGCTTTTCTCCTGTACCTCTTCACCTTCAGTCTGTTTTCCACCCCAGAGCCAGATTGCTTTTATTAAAATATCAGTATTTATCATTTTTGTCTGATTTGTGTCTTTTTGTCTCAAAGCCCCCACACAGCTCTGTCTTCCACAAACTCACCTGCCCCATTCTTGCAGGGGCCTAAGCACCCTCCTGAGCTGGTTCCTCGTCTGTCCTCCACACCTACCCCCACGTCCTCTCTCTTCACCCTCTTCTACACTCATGCTCCTGGCAAGAGGAGAGCGTGGAGGAAGCCCAGAAAACAGCAGGTAGGCTGGCACCTGGCCTCACACTTGTCTGACATTTCAGACCTTCTGGGGAAGCCCCAGCCCTTTACTGAGCTCAGATAACAGGGTGTGCTGCTTATGCCCCATGCACACGTGTGGGAGAGTGTGTGTGCACGTGTGTAGTTTGCAGCTGAATGGGCTTCTTCTGTCTCGACTGTGCCAGAAGGGGCAGTGACGTCCCTGGGGACTCATCCTTTGAAGCTGATTTATTGTGGCGGCCTGTTCAGCAAGACGTTGAAACCATTGCTTCTGTTGTTGCTAAGTGGGTCGTACAGCGAGGGAAGGCCGTGGAGGTGAGGAACGGAGTCATGTCCCTGACTTCATCTCCATCTCCCTCCCTTCCTAACGCCAGCCGTGTTTGAAGAGAGAACAGCGGCGTTATTTCCTCTCTGGGATTCTCCTCATAACTCATGTCTTAACTCCACAGAGTGCTTGGTGTCCCCGGCTCCCGAAACATGCTGGTGATGTTGGAAGAAGTAGGTCATTGCATGAATGGGTCTGTTTGTCACACCACTTTAAAGATTTCTGGTCTCATTGTGTTTCCTGCCAGTTTAGTGACATATCAGGGCTACATGTTTTAAGTAAACTAGTTCCCTTTAGATGTTTCTAAAATGATATAAATTGCAAATGGAATGTCCTTTGGTTAAAGTTCATTAATTTCTGGTTTTATTGCGTTGCTATCAAAGACCGCTGTCTCTACTGTTCTGTTTTATGTAACTTACTGAGATAATAATCCTGCCTGCTAGAATTCTGAGAGCCTCTTGGGAGAGGGGTGCAGGAGTTCTCATTGTTCCATTTGTTTTCTCTCGTGTTACACTCCCGTTTTAATTTTGGCATTTCACTGTCTGCAGAACTGCTTGTCATTGAGTCTGTATCCTGAATGAGTCACCCTCTGCAGAGGCGAAACCTCCTGTTATCCAGGGAAGAAAAGAGCCAGAGGATTTCTGGGGCCAAATGCCTTACAGAAAATTCTAATTACTATCCCCGTTTTTACTCACCTGCCTCCGGCTCTTCCCTTTGCAGCCGTTCTGGAACATGTGCAAGAATTGGCTGGTTTCCTGTTGGCCTCTCCCCTTATAGGCTTGGGTTTCAGCTTTCCTGGCTTTGCCAAATTATTTACCACGTTTCCATCCACTTTTCAGAGTCCAGTATTGTGCTGACAGCTCATGCTTGTTGTCTCCTCTTCTCCTGACCTTTTAGTACTTGTGAGTTTGTGCCTTTTTATTTTGTGTGATTTAAGTGCACCTTCTGTGAGAGTGGAGGTAAGCACACGTTAGTTCTGCATGTTTCATGGGAGGTTTCTTTCATTACTTTTTTTTTTTAACTTTTGAGTATTGATTACCTTTGTTTACTTTTACAGAACTTATTTATTTATTTATTTATTTATTTATTTATTTATTTATTTATTTGAGAGCGTGAGAGAGAGCACACAAGCCGGGGGTGGGGGGCAGAGGGAGAGGGAAAGGGGGAAGCAGGCTCTCCGCCGAGCAAGGAGCCCAACGCGGGGCTCGATCCCAGGACCCCAGGATCCTGACCTGAGCCGAAGGCAGACACTTCACCGACTAAGCCACCCGGGTCCCCTGCCTTTGTTTTTTTTTAAGTTGAGTATAATTCACATACCATAAACTCCACACTTTTAAAGCATACATTTTAGCAGTTTCTAGTATATTCACAAAGGTGTGCAGCCGTCACCACTGTCTAACTACAGACTAGGACATTTCATCGACCCAGAGGAAGCCCCATGCACATCACTAGTCACATCACTAACCCCGCTCACCTTTCCTCAGCCTTGGGAGCCATGAGTCTACTTCCCGTCTCTGTGGATTCGCCTCTCCGGGCATCTCATCTACATGGGATCACACAGTGTGTGGCTTTTTGTGTCCAGCTTCTCTCACTCAGCATCAGTGTTCCCCAGGTTCATCCATGTTGCATTTTGAAGGCTCATTCCTTTTTCATGTGGCTAAATCATATTCCATTGTGTGGATAGACCACATTTTGTCTATCCCTTCATTAAGTGATAGGCATTTGGGTTGTTTGCACTCGTTGGCTGCTTTGAATATTGCTGCCATGAACATTCATGTGCAAGTTTTTGTGTGAACATATGTCTTCATTTCTCATGTGTAGACCCTTGGGAGTGGAATTGCTAGGTCATATGGTAACTCTGTTTAACTTTTTGACAAACTGCAAGACTGTTTAACAGAGTGGCTATGCAATTTTGTATTTCTACCAGCAGTGTACGAGGGTTCCAGTTTCTCCACATCCTGGCTGACACTTGTAATTTTCTGTTTTTCTTCTCCCGTCTTCTTCCCCTCCTCCTCTCATTATTTTCAATATCACTGTTGCTCCTATTATTACTATTATTGCCATCCTAAGTGGGTGCAAAGTGGTATCTCATTGTGGTTTTCATTTGCACTGTTCTCACGACTAATGATGTTGAGCATCTTTTTCATGTGCTTTAGCCATTTGCCCATCTTCTTTGGAGAAATATGTATTCAAATCTTTTGCACACTTAAAATTTTTTTTTATTATTGAGTTGCAGGAGTTCTCTATGTGGTTTGGATATTAATCCCTTCTCAGATACATGATTTGCAAGTATTTTCTCCTATTCTGCTGGTTGTATTTTCTCTCTCTTGTTAGTGCCCTTTGATGCACAAAAGTTCTTAATTTTGATGAAGTCCACTTTATGTGTTTTGCTGTTGTTGCCTGTGCTTTTTGGTGTTGTATCCATGAAATCCTCATTGCCAAATCCAATGTCATAATGATTTTTCCCAATGTTTTCTATAAGTGTTTGTAATCTTAGCTCCTAAGTCTAGGTCCTTCGTCCATTTTGACTTAATGTTTGTATGTGTTGTAAGGTTCACTTTGCATGTGGGTGTCCAGTTTTCCCAGCACCGTATGTTGCAAAAACTATTCTCTCCCCCATTGAATTGTCATGGCATCCCTCTTTAAAATACTTCCAGGGCTTTCTGATGAATTCCCACTGACTGACCCTAAGACCCAGCTCAACAGCTTAGGCCTCTCTGGTCCTCCAGTCAGTAACACATTCAGCTCCAGTCAGTAACACATTCAACCTTCTCCTGCACTCGTGTGTGACTATCATCCCAACCGAGGCACTGTTTACCCATATGAAAGATGGAGGGTCTTACTCAACAGTACCTTTCCCGGAATTTCCTTGAATTTGGTGTTTTCCAATTAGTTTCACTTTGAATCGCAATGTATTACACGGACAAGACATTTTAGCTTGGGACAAAACCAGTCAGTGCTGTGGTTTATTGACTAAAATGGTTACCTGAGTGACTTGGAGAAAAGCAAAGACATTGGATATAGGTTTCTAATTATTTTTGGTGCTATGATCTCACAATTCCAAGTGTTGGATGCTGTTGTAAATAAGCCTTTTAAGGTGTCTGTAACCATAATTCATGGGGAGATCATAAATACACACTTACAGAGTAGAATTATAACACAGTAAAAAGGATAATGTATGAAAACAGGTACCTGTGACTAGGGATTAAATTTCCAGTTTGGGCAACCAGTGTGAATTCAAGAAGTAAAACATCAGGAAACTTAGATCCAGGCAAAACTGACACTCTCTGGAAAAACACCAGGCAGCATGGAAAGCAGGTCGGCCCGGACGAGAGTGTGCCCCAAGACACGGGGTGGGGTATGATGGATGGCGTGGTTACCTTTCCTGCCAGAGTGGCAAACCAGCAATGCATTTGAGTCAATATGTAACTTCATGACTGTTATTCTTAAATTAGTGGACGGGGGAGGGAGAGGGAGAGAATGGGACTAAATATTGTCAGTAGAAGGTTGACTGTTCATTTACATTCTCAAAAGTTGATATAGTTTCACCAAAAAACTTCTTTTGGACTTCTCATTATGAAATGGAAGCCTTCTATGAAAAAGAAGTCTTTTGGACTTCTCATTATGAAATGGAAGCCTTTATGAAATGTTTAGAGCTGCCTCATTTGGGGCATATTGGGCAGTATTCCCAGGACAAGTTCTGGCATTTCATCTCCATATCCCGCACGTGCCTCATACATGAATGCTTAATACATGTCTACTTGTCTGTTGAATGCAAGAAACAGTTCTGCAGGACCTCAGTCCTAATGGACAAGGTCATGAACATGCACACTCACATACCCTGTGTTCTGTTTTAGGTAGGTGAGCCGCGGGACAAAGTCAACCCTGTCAGTCACCAGTTCCAGCTATGATGCTCTAAGTCACAATAAGTCTGAACACTTGCTGTCTATGGATCTGCTCTGACTCTTAGAGCCTGCTTATGGGGGAAGGTGAGTGACTGTAAATATCTTTTGTTTGCTTGTGTGTTTACCAGGAATGTAGGTAACAAAATCAGCCTGAGAACAATGAGGCAATATGTGTTTGACCCTCTTCTATCCATGATGTGGTACCACTGGGGAGCAGTGCCAGGACGTGGACGCTGGGCATGATCATGTAGGAATAGCTTTCCTGGCTGACTCCAGGGTTGAGGTGGAGTTTGAAGAAGCAGGTCTAAGATGAGACAGAACGTTTATCCATGGCTTTTTTCCTTGAGTGTTTGAGGAGGATGGGAACCCTTAGAACTGTTTTCCCTAAATATTCCCTGCTTTTACCCCTCCTGGCCCTCCTCCCACCATTTTCTCAAGAATGCTGGGTGAGGACTCTGAAGAGCTGGGTCTGTTGTCCCCTTGTTTGTTGGGTCCTCCGTAAACGAGCGCCAGTCTGCTAGCCTGGCCCTCCTGACAGTCCTTCCGCGTGTGCAGCGGTGCAGTGTCATGTGTGTGGTGTGCTGGGAAGGAGCGTACACGTACAGATGTAGGAGCATGTGTGTGCACAGGTCCAGGATCGTGTGTGGCTAGCGTGCATATGCGTGCCTATAGGAGCACGTGTGCAGAGTGTGTGAGCGTGTGCACAGGTGCAAGAGCATGTGTGTTCTGTGCGTTCCAGGATCCTGAGGTCCAGACTCTCTGCCGAGCCTGCAGAACCCACTTTCTCTGGCCTCAGATTGAGACCTCGAGTTCCTTCCATGGCGCGCATGCCTTGGTCCCTCCCAGGCCGGTTGTAGTTTACTCACCTGTGTCTTTATGTTACACAGGCTTTGCTCAGGTCTTGAGAATACATTCTAGGGTGCTTTACTCACCCGGAGACACAAAGGTAGCCATTGAGAACGTTTAAGCCGTGTAGTTTATTAATCCAGATTCACAACACAAATATTATATAGGTTCTGAGTTAACATACCCCCCAGGTGGCTGTCAAAGAAACATGTGCATCTTTTAAAAGTCACAAAACTTAATAATAAGGGACACTGGGCTCCTCACTGCCTTTCCAGATGTTTTCATTGTTCTCAGTAGCAGCTTCTCTTCTGCCCGCATATTGTCCGTCTGGGTTTGTTTGTTTGTTTGTTAATTGCAGCTCAGCATTTTAATCCTATGGTGCTTGACCCAGTTCCGTAAGCCTGTGGCCTGTGTTGTTTTGCTCTTTTCTTTGTTCTTCCCATTGAGGATGGTTAAAACCATTTCAACTTCCAGGTGTCTGTTTGGGCTGAATGTCCATGACTGGTCACAGTGGATTGAACTCTGCTGGATTTGGATGGGAGCCAAATGGGAAGGCTCCTTTGTCATGACTGGCACGTCCCAGGCTGTGGTCAAGAGTGAGGCCAGCTATGTAAACCAGAGCCAGGGCTGACCGGGGTTCTTCAGGCCCCCCTGGAGCCCAGGCCCAGCTGCAGCTCACCAAAGCTGGGAGCCGAGGGAACCCCACATAGGGCTTTCTGCCTCTTTTCCAATCCAGGTGGATGCGTGCTGGGGAGCCCTGCACTGCTCATTAGCCTGCCCTCTTCCTGGCTGCATTTGCCAGGTACCCATGTGCTCGATGGTCTGGGCACCTGACCCCATGTCTGGCATGGGACATGGCTGCAGAAGCAATGGGTGGAACCCACGAGAACAGGAAACCCACGGCCATCTGAGCCTGACACACGTCCCGATGACCCTGAAGCCCCTGAGTGCCCCCAGCTGGCCAACCCCTGGGTGGTATGGTGCTTGCAGGAGGGGATCCCCCCACCCCATTTGCAATGCGCCCTCTACCCTGAAACTGCCCAAGGTCACATCCTCAGTTCTCACCTGGCCTGGTTTCTCTTGGCTGCCCCTGACACCCAGGGTGCCCCCATCCCTTGATTTCTCTGGACCTCCGGGCTGCACCCCCTCTTCTCTTTTGTGGCCCCCACACCCTCAGCCACTACCCTTTGGCTTGTGTCTCTGGTCCTTCATGTCCATCCTTCGTACCACTTCCTTTCCATCTAGGCTCTCTCTGCTTCCCACCTGCATGAAACAGGCTGGCGTGCCCCGTGGCAGTTCATCTGCTTCTGGTAACCCCCTGGATGGCTAGCCTTGCTGTCACCACTTGCTTACCTTGCACCAGACCTGCCTGTCGAGGGCCTAGGCCTGTGCTAGCCAGACCCACCAGCCAGCGTCCAGTCCTCCCCAGGCCCTCAGCTACACTTGATGCTGTCGGCCGCCCCGTGGGCAAGAGCCGAGTTTCCATGGCCCAAGCTTTATGACCCAGAGCAAGCCATGCTGCTCCTTCCCTCATCTGTCCAAGAGTGAGGATGGATCCTCCACAGACACCTGCTGCAAGGTGGGAAGTAGCCGGCGGGACCAGACACACAGCAGGGCTGTCTGCAGGCCGGCTCGCAGCACCCTCCTGCTTGCTTAGCCACTAGCGGCTGACGTCCCCAGGACTCAGGGCTCAGTTGGGCACTGAGGACAGAGCTGCCCAGGCTGCAGGACGCACAGGGAGCGGCCCTCATGACGCAGTGTCACTGACTGAGCCAGTTTGTCACTTTGTGCCGAGCTTCAAGCATGTGTATCCTTCCACCCAGGAATGATATCTGTAAATGTGTACTCCGAGGGAACAAGAGGGGGCAGGAAGAGATCCACCCAAAGAGGACTGTGGAAACATTCTTTGATGTAAGCACTCAGGGCGCCTGGCTGGCTCCGTTAGTAAAGCGTCTGCCTTCGGCTCAGGTCATGATCCTGGAGTCCCGGGATGGAGTCCCGCATCGGGCTCCCTGCTCAGTGGGGAGCCTGCTTCTCCCTCTCCCTCTGCCCCCTCCCCTGGCTCATGCTCTCTCTCTCAAATAAATAAAATCTTTAAAATATATGTAACAACTCAAAAACCTGGAAATATAAGCATTACAGATTGGTTACATTTTTCTACATAAAAATGCATAAAATTTTATGCATAAGAATAGAAAAATACCATGGAGAATTTGATCATTGTTATGTAGATTTAAATATGTTGACATAGAAAAATATTTCATACACAATGTTAAATGAGGAAAACAGGACAAATGTGGGCGGTTTGGTCCTATTTTTGTTAAAAAATATAATGACACACACCTCTTAGACAAAAGTCTGACTAGGTGGACCTCAAAATACCCCACTATCACTGGTGGTCTTTCTGAGTAATGATATTACAGGTTATTTTTTGCATAAATGCATTTTCTGTTTTTTTCTGTAATGAGCATCCAATATTTGTGCTATTTTAAATTTTTTCCTGTAATGAACAATCAGGCTGACTTTGGTCAGTAGGGCCTGCATGCCCCCACTTTCTGTGCCCCTTTGCTGACTCCAGAAAGCCAGAGCCTATCCTCACGGGCAGCGATTCTTCTCTGCATCTACGTGTTCACCTCTGCCTGTTACGGGTTTTTATCGTTTGTCTGCATCTGATTTCATGTGAGCTGGTGAGCTAACAGTGCCAAGTAGAAGGTGGACTGAGGGCGACTTTCTTCTGCTCGGTGGCAGACGTGCCTTCCCCACCACCTCTCACGGGGCCCTGTCAGCCCTCCGGTCAGCACTGCCCACACCAGAGCCCTGCGTCAGGATGGCTGTCAAGGACACACAGTGCTCACGTGTTTCTAAGCTTAAGTGTGTGGTTTGCTTCTAGGCCTGGACCTAGCAGCTCTAGATCACCAAAAAAAAAAAGAAATGGGGGGAAAGGAGAGAATTTGCAATTGGTGCTGCTTCAAGCGCCTCATCCTGCAGCTTCAGGACCAAGTACATCAACAGGACCAGCTTTGTGCGAGGCCCGACCGCACAGACAGCTGATAGCAGCAGTGACTGCTCAGGCCCTAGGAGCTGCGTTTCCATCACTGGGGCCCACCCGCACTTTCCTTTCCGAGGGCTGAGCTGCTGCAGCCTGTGTCCTGCAGGCATGCCCATGTGTGCGCTGGCCCCTGTTCGGGGGAAGGAGTCATTGAAATGACAGCACATCCGTGCCGGGTGCACCCCTCCAACGGAATGAGGGGAGTTGGGCGAAAAGTAGGTCACATGTGCCTGGTCCCATGTCACGAGGTTTCCAACCTGAGGCCAATGGGATTTGTAGCCTCCTTTGGTTAGGACAAAACCCACTCTGATTTTTCTCCTTTAGCATTTCATCTTCTCTAGACAAGGAGGGTGGCCATCTGTCTGATAGCCGCATCCAGCCAGCCCTTCCCGACCTCCCAGAGCCGCTTTGTTCTGAGGTAAGGGGTACTGGGGCTGGGGGAGGCTGCTCTGGCCAGGAGAACAGGCCGTGTGTCAAGGAGCAGGGTGCACACAGGTCCTCGGGAGCTATTAGCAGGGCCTGCTGAGGCAGGCACAGCATTTTCCCTGTGACATTCAGAGGAAGATCCTCACATTAGGTTCTATTTTAATATGGCTCCTTTTTAGGGATCAAGGTCAACTGTTACCGCTCTCATGTTAAAGTGTTAGTCTGTAGAAAAGTGAGAGTGCAGTCTTACAGCTGTCCATTGGTGACGCGGGGGGAGGGGTGGGAACAGGGCTCCCCCTAAGACACACTGGCCACCCTGCGGTCCGGGGCCCTGTGCTCTCAGTGCGGCCGGCGCCTTTGTGTGAGTCGTCAGCCTCTGCGCCGAACAGGTGAGCTCCTGGCTTCCATTAGTACAAAAGCACCGAGGAATCCACATATCAGAACCAGGTTAATACACGTATGCTATCTGCACTATTGGAGCTTGGTACTTCTACTGAGAAATAACGTGGTTCTCTTATGTATGGGAAGACCGGCAAATGGGATTCCTCCGTGACCAAGCAGATGTGGAATGTGTGTAAATAACAAGCATTGATTGATTGATTGATTTTGCTGTCCTGTAAATGAACTAAGATACCCATTAGCTCAGGATCCTTCTGACAGACCTGTTCTGGCAGGTAATGAGTGGGCTATAAAATGTTTGCAATGTTTGTACAATGGGTACCACTGGTGCTGTATTTAGACAAAGAGGCTCTCCTTTCTGGGT